AATATTTGATGGAAGACTAGAGGCCAAATCATTAATAGCAAGGAGAAAAAGTGTTGTGCTCAAACACATCCCTGGGGACACCTTCAGCTTGGTAAAGTCGGGGAGAGCACATTATTAACCCCGAACACGGAAATGCCTGTCAGTTAAAAAGTTCTTAAGGAAGGATGGTAGATTACCTCGAAGGCCTAAGGAGTGGGCTTGGGCCAAAATATTATACCTCCAAGTTGTGTCATATGCCTTCTCGAGGTCAAAAAATATGGCAATAACTGAGTGGTTATTCGCAAAGGCATTACGAACATACGTATCCAAGCGTAGTAAGGGGTCTATGGTAGAACGTCCCTTACGAAAGCCATATTGATGAGTGGAGAGACTGTCATGTCTCTCTAAATACCACACTAAACGTCTATTTACTAGGCATTCCATCACTTTGCAAACTGCACTGGTAAGTGCAATGGGATGATAGTGGGAGGCTTCATGTCCCGTAGTGCCTGGTTTGCGGAAAGGGAGAACAATGGCGGATTTCCACAGCTGTGGAACAACTTGTGACCAAATAAGATTGTAAAGGCGTAATAGGACTGCAAGGGCTGACTGATGTAAATGTTGTAGCATACGAATATGAATGTCGTTGGACCCAGCTGCCAATGATCGGCAAGCTGAGAGTGTTGCCTCCAGTTCTTGAAGTGTAAAAGGCACATTATACTGTTCTTCTCTGAGAGAAGAAAAGTCCAAGGGTGCTAACTCTCTGGCAGACTTTGAGGAAAGAAATGAGGGGCATGGATGGAGTCCCTGAGAAATACGGACCAGATGACTGCCAATTTCATTGCCAACATCTAGTGGGTTTGCTATATCAACACCGGCAACCCGTAGAACAGGAGCCGGGTCAGGAGAATATTTACCACTCAGTTTTCGTACTTTTTTCCAGACTGCACTCATAGAGGAAGCAGAGGTGATGGTGGAGACAATCTCGCCAGCAAGTGCGTTTAGCGTCACGGATTACACTGAGTGATCGCACGCTTCTGCTTAAAATCAAGAAGTCTCTGTGGTTCTATTGTACCGGTACCTGCCCCCATGCAGCACATTTCAAACATACTGCACGAGCACAGGCAGGAGACCACCAAGGCACGCATTTCTGAGAATGCCTGCCCGAAGTTTGGGGTATACAATTAGAAGCTGCGGTTAAAACAGAGGACGAGAAGAGGTGTAAAAGCTCATCGATGGAGGACGAAGAAGGAACCTCTCTAAAAACAGTTAGGTGCGAGTAAAGGTTCCAATTTGCCTGATCAAATTGCCAGCGTGGGATGCGAAGAGGTGGTGAATATGGAGGGGAAGTAAGAATGATTGGGAAATGATCGCTGTCATGTAAGTCCGGGAGAACAGACCAAGTGAAGTCTAATGCGGCGGAGGAAGAGCAGACTGAGAGATCGATGCAAGAGAGTGTGTGAGTCCGAGGATCAAAATGGGTGTGAGTACCTGTATTTAAAACATGGAGGGGGTGGGTGGCAAGAAAAGCCTCTAACTGAATGCCACAGGAATCACAGTGAGACCCCCCCAGAGGAAATGGTGGGCATTAAAATCGCCAAGTAACAGAATTGGTGGCGGTAATGACGTAACAAGAAAGGCAATATCCGGAATAGATAATGCCCGAGAAGGAGAGAGATATAAAGAACAGAGCGTATACCACCTATGCAAGTGGATACGGGCTGCTGTGTAATGCAGCGAAGTACGAACAAATAGCTGATGGTACGGAATACCAGTGCATAGAAGAAGGGCACTTTCATTAAAGGTCCCATCAGGAAAAGGATCTGAAGAATACAATAAATTATAGCCTGAGATGGGAGAGATAACAGCAGAGTGTAATTTTGGTTCCTGTAAGCTAACACCAACAGGGGAAAACTGGGAGAGTAACATCTGAAGCTCACCCTGATTACCCCTGAGGCCGTGTATATTCCACTGTAAATAGGCCATGATTGGCAATGATAAAGATACCTGAAATCTGCAGGTAAGGGTTCCTACGGACTAGAGGGGTTAGAAAAGTCCACATGCAGAGGCAGTGGAAAACGTTTCAAGCAGCGAAGGAATGGTGCGCTATGAAGAAAGGAGTTGCGCAGATGGAGCAGAGGAGAGAGAAGGAATGGAGGGTGGATCAGTGTCCATTGATGGTTTGGCCTCTGCAATATATTCAGAGATTGCTTCAAGTGTTTCGGAATTCAGAGACGTCGTATGGGAGACAATATTGGAAATGGTAGGGGGAGGATGAGGAAAGATTGGAACTGTAATGGACTGTACCAAGGTAGGGGGGGCGAAAGGGTGGAGGGAACTGGAGAAGCGTGGAAGGGGACAGAAGAGGCAGAAACCTGGGAGGTGGCAGAAGAGGAAGAAACTTGGGAGGGAACAGGGGAGGAAGGTACAGTATGAGGAGGAGGGTGAACCTCTACACTTGTAACAGAGCCAGTGAGAGGGAAAGAACCAGGTACAGAGACAGGGAAGGTAAAATGAGGAGGTAGAAGATGGGTAGGAGGTGTTAATGGACCTTTTTTGACTTTTGAGAAGTAGAGGGACGATTAGGAGGAGGTGTCATACGAGATCTCATCGCTACTGAGGCTTGTGAGGGAGAACACGAAGAAGCGAGATCAGACTGAGGCGTTGAAGTAGGGATGTCTGAGCCTAGGACAGCAAAAGAATTAGATACAAGAGTGACTATAGAAGAGGTAACCACAGAGGTGGTTGCAGAAGATGGGATCCCAGAAGTGAGGGGACGTTTTGAAACACGGGAATAAGAAACACGAGGTAGTCTCCCTTGGAGGCGGAGATGAGAAACTGCCATGGCATAAGGGAGACCTTCTGCCTCTTTGAGGTAACGGATTTCCCGCTCGTTTAAGTAGACTTGGCAACGGCGAGAGTACGAAGGGTGAGCCTCATGACAATTAAGGCAAGAGGGAGGTAGATTGCAAGACATATTAGAATGGTCATCGGCACCACAGACCGGGCATTCGGCGATAGATCTGCAATATTTCACTGGATGGCCAAATCGCCAGCAATTTCTACACTGTTGCGGTGTAGGGATCCCCTTTTCGAACTTGTAACCGATTTTCCTGCTACATAAATGAGGATGGGAGTTCACAGCTGTCAAAATTTAAAACGAGCCACATTGTGGGGTATTGTCCCCTCCCGGGGGCGGGAAGAACGTAAGTGTCAACCTTGAGGATGGGGGGATCTTGGGTTCCAGCTGTTCAAGAATGTCAGTGCCACATGTCTGGAAATTTTGTTGAACTATGGTATGGGGCAGAATGACAGTACCACTACAAGAATTGAGGGAATGATGTTTTTCAATAGTGACTGGAACAGTATCGATATGGGAAAGATGAGAAAGTTCATGAGCCTGGGTAGCATTCTGTACGGTGATGATGCGCTTTACCGCTCTTAAGAGAAATGAAAAAAAATATCTTTACCAACATGGCATAGGAGTGCCTTGCCAATACTGTGGTCAGAAAGATAGGCAGTAGAGGAAGTCGGTCGTTAAGTAAAGAATTTAGTCCATTGTGCAGTCTGAAACTGAGCATGGAAAGGTAGTGAAGGACGTGTCGATCTTTTCTGAGAACGAAAAGGGTGGAGAAGTATCATCAGCAGGTAATTGTCATTGGCGTTTAGGCGTGGGACCAGAGGTGGTCGACGTGGAACGGGGCCAGCGATTCGAAAATTGCCGAAACCGTAGAGAGGCCGGAAGCTAGTCAGAGGCGAGTGAAGGTCCAGTTTAAATCGAAGGAGTCGTCGAGGCCTCAGTACCTGAAGCGGGTGAGGAAACAGCACCGGAAAGAGGTACAGAGGCATGGGGAGTGTCGAAAGTGGTCCAAGACGAGGCAGGGTCAGAACGGGGTCGGTATCAAGAAGGGGCCCGGGGTAGCAGGTTCATGGACTAGGGCTGCCTGGTTAGGTTACTTTTTTCTTTTTGTTTTAAGAAAAAAAAAAAGAAAGAAAATAAAATAAAAATAAAAAAAGAATAAAAAAAGGGGGGACTGGGAGGGATAGTCCTAGGGGTAATGAAAGGGCAGAAAAAACCCCCCTCCGCGCCCCAAGAGGACCTCAGCACCATAAGTAGTGCAGATGCAGCATGGGGAAACCCCTGCCATACCCTACCCATCATGCCATTAAACCCGGGAATCCGGGATAGCAACCTCACATCTGCCGAGCTAAACCCCGGGGACAAAAGAGGGGCGGCCGGAAATTCCGCCACAAGCATACCCCCTTCAGCCACCCCCCCGGAATCCGAAAAGGTGGCTTCCAGAGATACCCCCGTCGCCGAGACAACCCAAAGCCACCCTCCGGGATACCGAGAGGGATCGGGAACATCCCCAGGCAATCCATATTCCATGGCAAATTACGCCACCGCCAAGAACCTCAACGGAATGGGATGGACCCCGGTACCCTTTCCCCTACCTAGGAACTAGCGTGCCTGTGGGAAAAAAAAAAATTCCCAAAGGCCAAAAAGGAAGGGCAAAAGGGAGGGGTGGGGAGGAGGAGGAGGAAAGGAAAAAGGGGAGGATGGGGAGGATGGGATAGGGAATGGGGGATTGGGGGGTAATTAGGTTCGGTCTGAGGAAGGAGACCAACAGGTCTAATTCCTCAGACCAAGAGCCTCTTCACCACGCCAAGGATCCCCCCTTGATGAGGGTCAGATGACCAAAAGCTCCAATTGTGGGTCATCATCTGACTAAGACCCGCGTCAGGAAACACTTGTCCTGTTTCCTGACGAACCTTACCTATCTAACCTTCAGAGGTCATATACTGTACTTACCACCTAAAAGTCTCCCATTCTTAAGTGGTAAAGTACTATACTTCTCATCTCCAAAACAAAACACTCCCAACCATCATTCAGAGTGACAGTACTTCCCATCTGCAAAACTCTGGTCAGACTATTTGGTTTTCTTGACTACTGTCATCAATGTTACCTTGCTCACACTCCGACACCACTCATTCAGACGTCTACTAGAAAAACACTTTACGTTAATAGAAGTGACGATGAAGTGGACGCCGCTAAGATCTCTTCTTCGTTCATATTTAGGTATGCTAGACCAGACGAGCCTCCTCGCTGTGGTCCCCGGCTCCTGTTGCTCTATCCACTCTGTGTGATCAACTTCCTCAAGGTCGGGTGTACTAGTACTGGCCGACCCTCCACCCGTGGTCTCTGGCTCTTGCTCTGCCCACTCTCCTTGGTCACCTGCTTCAAGGATCACCTTCCTGGACATTGGGCAGGCGCGCCAAGTGGCCAGATGGGATTGTTTCAGGCCTATCTTGTGTCCTGGTGACCAAAGCTCGTGTATGTGGAATACGTCTATGGTAGCAAACTTCACCTCCGCCACCTTATTAAGAGTTAATTTTTATTTTAGATTACCTACAAAGTGGTACATTTTTTATTAGCCCCATATATACAAAGTAAATTTTGAGATTTACTTTTTTGGTTATCAAAGTGTTCTGTGCCGTTTACCCTACACCTCGAGGAATATGCTTTGCAAATAAGCTAATCATGCATTTTTGTATATAAACTAATTAAAGAAATTTAGGAATGACAGATGCACTAAATGGACATTTACTTTAAAATTTTTATATGAAATACAATGATAAATGAACGAAACTATTGTATTAGTAACAAGGGTGTATCACATGGGTTAGGCTGGGTACATAAATAGAAAAATTTACAAAACCTTCAGTAACCAACAAAATTGTTGGCACAGATTATTATTATAATCATGGGGGAGTGCTAAACCCGTAGGATTATACAGCACCTGTGTGTTTGTGTGTGGGGGGGACGAAGATGAAATAAAATCCAATTACAGAACGTGTTACTACGATTTCGCGAGTCTTTAAATATAATGCTGTGGCAGACTCCACATATATACTTAATGTAGGTAAAACAATGAATGTTAGTGGTGGAGGGGCCTCCGGCAAGTTTTGAGCCGAGTTTATTATGCACCCCATACCTATCCTGCGGTCGGTAGTCAAAAGATTACAGAGGCACATAATGGGCTCAGGGACTTGACCACAAAGTTCTGATAGCTGAATAAGCTACAGGGGTAATGAACTATTTATATGTTTATATCTGGTTACAATCGTAACGAGTTATTTATGCAGCCATGAATTAGGGTACACACAAAGACAAACATTACCTTACATTTTAGCAAGGTATGCTTGTAAAAAAAAATTCAAGTGGTTATGCGTTATTTATAGTGAACAAAGTTAGGTTATTTTTTTCTTTAACATTTCTGCGCGAGTCGCAAGAAAAGCCAAGATGCGATATACTTCCAGTGTATACACCCGATGGTGCATGTTTCACTTAATATATACCCGGAGGTGTGCATCTCTCGCTTAATATACACCCGAAAATGTCTCTTAATATATACCCGAAGGTATTTATCTTAGAATATACACCCAAAAATATGCATCTCTCCCTGAATATAAGCCGAGAGATATCTCACTAAATATACAGAGGTGTATCTCTCAAGAGTATTGTATACCTGGCGATAATGAATTTTGAACGTATGCAATATCTCTGTCGTGGTAACTGTTATTGCGCTGGTCAGACGAGTCAGGTAGCGGGAAGTCGACCTTCCTCCCAGAAACAATGTTTAATGCAAGCATGATGTATCGTTCCCAGCTGGAGGGTTGTATTAGGCTTTTATCGCTTTACATAATGAATTTTCTTCCTCTTTCCCCCCCTAATCCCCCTCTACATGCATAGTTCATGTTCATCAGTCACCCAACCTATAAAATTTAAAACTTAATCACATCTATGTAGCCTACAATCTGATAGCTAATGACTGTTGCTAGTGTTGTGCGTACAAGGAGCTTCATCGACCTCATTATAAGCATATTTCAACTGTTAGTAAGAATTTATTACTTATGCAAGATGCACGAAATGAATCTTTAAATAAAGTGAATTTACATTTGCATGTTTACCGAGGTCGTTTACCTCAGTGCGCATAAAAAGGAATAGTGCAGAATGAGTCATAAGTTTCTAATAGTTAAATATCAGTCATAAACGTCATTCACAAGTTATTGCATGTAAACTAATCACAATTTCCCTAATAAAAATGGCAAATTGGAACATACACAGCCAACACTAATTCGAGTGTTCCATAAAGATGTATTATCTTTTGAACTTTGAAGCCAATCAGAAGCAGCTTTCTCTAATCATGGCACAGACCAATATCCGAAAAATATACCAACAGTTTGAATCCGGCTAAAAGTTGTATCGGCACTGAAAGTTAAAAGCAGACTGAATGAAGTGTTCAAAAGTTATCGCATAAAACACAGCATTCCAATTTTCCCAATTTTATTAATACCTGTCTTTAATAATAATAATAATAATAATAATAATATATACACCAGCGTTTAAGCTTGGAAGGCGATCACAAAAGGCATTCTCCGATTTTACAGAAAGCACTTTAATAACAATTGTCAATTAAAACTCGCACAGTTCAAAATTAATGCAAAGCTTCCTTTGAGAAAACGAAAACCGCTAAAAGTCGGAAACTGACTAGAAAATACACGTTTTTAATTATTCACAAAATACATTACCAGTTTTATCAACGAAACTAATGAACTGAATGAATTCAGGAGAGGCATACTCAAGTTATTTTACGAAAAAAAGGAAAAAAAAAAAAACGCCGCACTCCCGTAGGCTGCACCCGTGTTAAAGCCTGACACCGTCCAGAAGAGGCTCAAGTTATCGCAGGGAAACTTGAACCGGGAATGTCTATATAAAATGATCACAGGGCACCTGCACATGCCAGTAGTTCCATGATGCTTTTCCCTCGTTATAATTCACTAGCGTTGAAAATTTGGAGCTTGTCCGATGAGGCGTTCATGTTATAAATGAAATCCTTTAAGAAATGAACTATGCCCTACACATGTGCCGGCTTTGGAAGAAGCCGTAAGAACGTGATATTTAAGGACTTACTCAAGTCGTGATATTTAGAAGCGCCATAAAAATGCGAGTTTTCGATGTTTTAATTTTCTCGTTTATATTTATTCTGGATTCTACATTTCTGTAAAAGAAATCTTTTTAATAGTAACTATAATTTGCATATCTCGTTTAAGTTACCAGATAAAAATTGAGGTTTAAGAAATTTTTAACAAACTAGCACCTACACAGTCTAGTAACAATTCAAAAATTCATCTAGGATAAATCAACATTGAAGGTTTGAAGACAGTCGGATTAGGCATTCGCAAATTATTGCATGAAAAATCAGTATTTCAAGTTTCATAATTTCAATAAAATTGGCAAACTGGCACTTAAACAGCCCAAGATAAACACAAAAATTTATATAATTAAGATACATCAGTGTTTAGTGTTTAAAGCCGAACAGAAGAGGCATTTTGAGCTACTGTATGGAAACTAATTTGTTGAAATTGGAAAATTAAAACTTACACAACCCATAATCAATGCAAAACTTCCTTTAAACGAAGCCCGCCAGCACAGAGGTTGAAGCCAATCACAAGTCTCCTCTAGTTTAAGTATCAGATGGAGTTTTCTTAAGTTATAAAGAAAACCTCGGAAGGAAAAAATAGTTAAGGCATTTCAAGGTACCTATTTATGGATGCCTAACAAGTTCCTCTGTTCCTCTTCCTATATGTAGGGTACATACTGAGATGTCCATCTCCTGTTATACATATGCTGAACGTTCACTTCAATCCTTATTTTAGAATTTAAAGTATTCTTTCGCCTGACGTTGAGTCACTAACACGGTGGTGGGGTTTGTGGTTTGTGCTTAGGTGTAGGGGGACTTTTCTCTGGTAGGGGTGCCTCCATCCCCACAATGTGCTAAGGCCCGAATATCTTCTTTGGCATAAATAGTAGGGTTATGTCCCCTTTTGTCTAAATTTGCTCACACTCCTGGCCGATGACATGGAACATTTTATAGCCAGAGATTGCAGAATATGAAAAATAGATTTTGAATAGTTTTTATCTGCGTTATGATTATGCTTTCTGTAATAAGAGCGAAATGATAACGACAGTTACCATTTCGCTGTCAAAAACTGAATATGTAAAGCGTTGACTATCCATAAAGTTTTAGTGTTTTGTAAAAACATTAGAACAACAAAGTATTTTTGATACTGAATAACAGGAGAGATACATCCTTGATCCATGTACAGTCGATAGGCTGTAAACAAAATTAATCCTTCCTAGTTTTTACAGTATTAGTGTGAAAAGGAAGCAAGTATTTACTCACAGTGGAGTCTATTGGAACATAAAACTGTGGTAAGGCGGAGACGAGGGAGCGATCAAGGCCAGCCAGCAGCCAGATGTGCGTCCCCAGCCAACCCTCGCCTCTAGCCTGCAACAGAAGGTTCAAGTTACCAAGCAATGCGGCGCATTTCCTCTGCAAATACATACATCAGTGTGACAAATTAAAGTTCTTGTACACAGCACCCAAAAGATTAAGAGGAAATGCTGAAAAAATAAAGCCAGTCCTGTTTGCATATGACAACACTTGCCATATATAATTAAGAATAGACTTGCTCTCATGTTTGAGAATAAAGATAAAAACTCAGTTCATAATAGTAATAATTCCCGCAGAAATGCAAGAAAGGTGAAAATTCTTAGAGATACACCACGACTTCAGTCTGAAATTCAACGCATATTTAAGATAATTTCCAAAAATGTAGGCATTATCAAAAATTCCCTAATTTCTTCCCAAATACCATAACTCACTTTGCACTATTACCCAATCTATCCTTACCTTGCGTACTTTTACTTGGGGATATACCACAGCAAGTCACTTTAAACCCACTGTTACACAACAGAAATCAACTATGTACAAGAATAATCACCTAAATCAGGTTCCAGGCAACACATACCTCCACTTTCAAAAGTCTAAACTTAGTCAACATACAACACACTAACACATACTACAGGACACCTTCAACCCAGCGCTCCGACATTTCCTCGAGAGCTGCAACAGAATAGATATAATACAAGAAATAAGTATCTTTTATGTACCATTCGACTCAACCTATAGAGGAACTCCATGGAAATAAACCATCCTTAAAATTTGTAACTCCCTTCCAGAAGATGCAAAAAGTTTCCCTTCAGCCACCTGCTTCAAAAATATAGTCCAAAAGCACTTCCTAGTCTGACAAACTCTGGTTAGATAAATTATATTTAGGCCTGATCTATAAATTATAGTTATGTTCTAAATCACATTAGCATTCATATTGATGTATATCATTATCACTAATCTGTTATGAACCAAAAACATGTTCTAACTCAGTATTCACCAGTACAAATGTTGTTCCAAATTGTTACACAGATCTCGATGCCAAATCATAAACCAAATTGTTTCCGAATATAAAAATGTCAAATATTACAAACTACAGCATTCAAGTGAACTAGATTAAGTGAATATTTATCCAGTAATTGTAAGTTAATTTAAAGACTGCCAGAAAATGCTTTGCATGACAAGGGACTTTACAGAAAGTTTATTAATGGTTCTTAATCCAATGTTAACTGTATATTGTACTTCACTTATAAAGATTATAAAATACCAATTCCTAGAGCAAATAAGCAACATAACTACAACTGTGGAAAAGTTGATCATTAATGTCATTACTTTCTGGACGAAAATACACACACACACAACATTATGTATGTATGTATGTATGTACGTACGTGTCGAATAGGTAAAATTGGTCAATTAGCAAGAACTCGTTTAAAATCAAGTACTTTCTAAAAATTTTCCCTTATACGTTTAAAAAAAATTTAATTTATGTTAAAATATGTATTTTGTACCAAAAGAACCTTAAAAAACTTAACCTTACCATAACAAGCGCAATTTAATTTAGACTAATCCAACTAAATATATTTTAGATAAGTTTACAAATTTAATAATGAACACACAGTGAAATATATTTTTCCGGTAGGTTCGGAATGATTTTTGCGAAATTATTGTATACACAAATTTTCGCTTGTCTTATCCGGCAAGAAGAGCATTGTTATTTAAGCCAAAATCGCAAGTTTTACCTATTCGGCATGACATCAATAACAACACTGTTACTAGCTGGGGGATCGAACCCGTGTTTGTTTTAGCCCGCCTTATGGTGAGCGAAAATTCACGACGCTCTAACCCACGGGATCATACAATCCCCTAGCTAGTAACTGCAGGTAAAAATATCTAATCTAAGTATTGCAATACATACTTCAGTTTTAACGTTGTTAAATATTTTGTAAGTGGTGTATCGCATCGGCCGTCTCCCACAAGGACCTCATTCATTCAGTAGCTGTCTTGACAGAGGTACGTAGACCTCACACTTCAAATGAAGTTTCATATCTATAGCGTCTCCACTCCTTTAGTGTGAAGGGGTGGCGCTAACAGGTTTCCCCTGCACCTTTCTATAAATGTTACCTTGATTACAGCAAACAGTACATTAAATTCTTAAAACAGCTAAGTCTCCACTCCCCCGGTATAATATGCTCATGTTTGCTGGATGCTTAAGCTCCTACCACTTAAAACCTCCTTAGTATCCTCGAACACTTCCCGGGATGATCCCTATTCTTCCTCCCTTCCATCCCGGATTTGTACACCCTCTTGGTCATCCAGATCTTCTCCATCCTTTCTAAATGTTCAAATCACTTCAACAACCCCCTGCTCCATACTTACAATAATACTTTTATGCTTACCCCCCTCCCCCATCTACTTCTCATTTCTTCTAAGCAATGAGATCTTTGTAATATTGTTACTACATAATACTCTGGAGTATGACGTCAAGACTGCCTCCAGCCTTCTTATTGTAACATTTAAAGCCCATGCCTCATGTATACATAAGTGTTGGTACCACGATACTCTCACATTCCATTTGCTGCCTCCACTGAAGCGCCTTTCTCTCCACAGACACCTCAATACTAACTTTTTTTCCTCTTTGTCTTTTTGATGGGTTACCTCGTCTTCCACTCATTATAAAAGGTGATAAAATATATTAAAATGATACTAACAGTGAAAGGTCGTTATCGATGGCGTAATGATGACAAGTAACACTATTACAGAGCTGGCCAAGTGAAAGGCGCCAGGCGTATCAATAAAACGAGTCCCTGAACCTTTTTTTTATTAATCTAGGGAGTGCTCGTTAGTGTTAATAGGAGGTTCAGGTGTACTTCCTCCGTGACAAAATAATTTCATCGACTTTGAGACTGTTTTCTAACATGCTCTACCTTACTAATGACCTTCAACTACTGAATGATTATGATTCTAAGGGTTATAAAATTTATCAACAAATTTATTTCTAGCAACCTTCATCTCTTGCTATGAGATGTTACTGTAACGTCCTACTACGCAGAACACAAAGAGAGGTCGACAGGATTACCGCCTGGGAATTATTATGGCGCATAAAAACCAACCCAAATAAGTCAAAAATCACTTACTTCCATAGAATGCGTGATGCCCCCACTCCTGTCGTACTCAAAACAAGCACCTCCCGTACCCCCATCCCACGCTCCTTCACGACAGTTGTCCTTGGTATTACCCTCGACCACACACTGCACTTAAAATCTCACATTACTACAAAGACCATACTGGCGGGAACTGCACTCTCAAGGTTATATAAACTGCGAGGAACCAGTCCCAAGACAAAACTACATCTTTACAAAGCACTCATTCGTCCTCTACTCTCTTACTTTCCACTCGCTCTTACGTTAATCGCCAAGACAAACGCACTAAAATTTCAACGTATCCAGAATCGTGCATTACGTTGGGTGTTGGGAGTGAGGTGGGACGATTTTGCCACCAGTGAATCTCTCCACCTCACGACAAACACACCAGCTTTGAACGTATACTGGAAGACACTTAGTGACAAACAACTTGACAGACTTGAAACATATCATGACTACTGGACTACATACTTAGCTGACACTCTCAGACGTCCTTACAATGATGTAAATCTTTTTCAATCATTGAATGAGCTGGCACCTCCACCACAATACACATAAATTATCTGACTTTTGCTTAAAAATTCAAATAACTTAAAAGTGCCATTGCCGTATAGCTGTGTCTTTGTGCGTTTTTAGGGCTGAAGTGCTTGCGATGTGCGTTTTGCGTCACCTTTGCAACAACGTGTCCCTGACCCATATCCAGTCATTGCAAGTTGAAGTGCTTCCAGTCGGTTGCAGTCAGCACCCGCAGAGTCCCTGTTATCCTTATGTCGTCTTCGTTATTGATTATCCAGGCTTAGCAGTTGGGTTTAGTCCTGACTCTTCTCTCTTCAACTCAAGACATTCCTCTCACCGTCTATTCTTCGCACTGTCCCCACTTGCCCCTCGCCCCTTGTGGGTCCTTACCTGTGAGTCCTATCTATCTATCTATGCTTCACTACCGAATCTCATGTTGAGTCAGATGATTTCGCTCTAACATTTACTTATTCAAGAGAAGTGATGTCCCTGCCCTGAGAAACATCAATCACCAACTTACAGCTGTACCTGCCTGGGACAAGCAAAGGCAAGTTACATTTATTTCTGGAAGGGTGTATTATAAATGTTTCTAGAAGACAGTATGACGTTGATATCCTGGAGGTGAAAATGAACTCTGCAATAAGTTAAGAGTCAAAGTGAACCTTGCAAGAAAAGCAGCTAAGGGACATGTAACATAAGCTCATTACCATTGGCTGTAAAACTCCTTACAATACATAAAATATGCTCCACACTTAAATAACCTATTAACCTTCCCATCTTTGACTTGTGGCCCCTTGAAAAGAGTTGCGCTGATGCTAGCGAGGGGCTCGTGATCCAAAGGGCTGTAGCCAACCCTTCCCTTCCTTTGATGAAACTGATTACCTCCCATTTTCCAGGCGCTGTAAGACCCTTATGTTGTCCTCTAGCAAGGTAGAGGACAATGCAAGGTCTCTCCATCTGTACTCTATACCAGGCCTCGCTGGACTTTTTTTCACCAAAGCCTGAAACACCAGAGATATCTCCATGATGTTAATTTTTTTGGCTACACTGTCAATGTTCTCAGTATCTCCCACTATCTAATTTCATAGACTATCATAAGGCCGCTTCTGTATCAAGAACGGGCAACCAACAACAGTTTCACTTTGCCTGTACCTTTCTCAACTGTATAACTATCAGTTTAAAAAAAGTGTGGAACCGTTTTACAGATGTCAAAGCCTAATACGTGCACAACGCGAAATGTACACTGGGCTTTGACCAGGCTTTTTAACTAACAGACTTGTAAATATCAATAAGTTGGTGCTAGCTCCTCCAAGTTCGATGACAGCACAGCCCAACCTAACAGTTTGAAGGTTACAGGATTCTCTACTTAGGATAGCTAGTGCTAAAGGAAGGGTATTATAAAGGACTGGACACTTACGGAGTTATTTCGCTGTACCTATTGCATTATTGTTTTTCCTTATGGCTTATCTGCGCCATCATCTATCATGCCTCAAATTCGCATAAGATATTTCAAAGAACAGATCTGGAACTAGCTTCTACAGTATTTTCCAGATATACTTAATGACATCTTTCTCATTTGTGCTCCAAGAAGTACCTGAGGGAATTTATGCTCATTCAATATTTACATGCAGATAATGAATGCTCTTGGCATTTTTTTCCAGGTACACAATTTCACCAGCTAAGCTTAAATGATGATTTTAGTATATACTCAAGATATCACAATCGAGTGTCTTAAGTATCACTGGATTGGCCTTTCGTGTTTAGATATTGTTTGCAGTTATTAAAACAGCGAATAGTAAATTTTGATTTCTGAAAAAGATATTTTGACCTGATTACTCGGATATCTCTTACATTTTCAAGCCTTTTTTTATATATGAAGAGCCAAAATTTATCTTCAATAAATATTCTATTGTTTCATATGGTCCATCTGGGAGATTAGGTTTACCTAAGATTGCAGATGCTTGATATATGTTCATACAAATTTTTATTTTTTATCTCGTCCAAGTCATATTTGAGGATAAGAATTTAGCTAAAAAGCTTGTCCTGAGGTACGGAGCTTTTCATAACTGAATACTCAGATTTGACTATTATATTTCTGTTTAGATAGTTTAAAATATTGAAGATCAATGTGCTCCCCTTTCCCAGAGGAAAACAGGTGGGATAGAGGCGAAAGGTGTGCGCGGAGCTTTACTGAATATAATCACGTTAGTGTACTTAACCTTATGGAAGTATTGTGTTAACAAGGGAGCGACATCCTGCAAGCATCACACACCAATGTGAAGCTTGCATTCGCATTCTTAAATGTACGAGTATTGAATTTCTAAATAAATATAAAAACTGTAACAAGTGTAGGCAGTACACAAAGCAATAATGATGTTTAGCTTGTATGCACACAGATATACATGCCTAGCCTAGCATTGGTTTTAACAATGGCTTCTTGCCTAAATTAGAGAGAAGTTAGTCTTAAAAGTATAATACTACCTGACATAGGACAAAGTGTCCAGACAAAGATAATCTTGGGGTCCCCTTGAAAAAAGAAATATTGCTTAACCTTTAAAGCAAGCCAATACTTCGAAAATAATGCCATTTACTATATTACTAGTTATTTCTGAGCTATTTTGAAACTCATTTGAGCCATAGGTTCTCAGTCATACAGCTCACAGTAGTCAATCTTCAATAAAATCAATAACATCCCAGGAAACTACGAGAGTGACCAATAACCCCAATTGTGTACCATGCCGTGTCACCCTAAGATATAAACTAAGTAAAACATAATGCAGTCTCCCGACACTGACATTTGAATAGCAAAACACGGTGCAACATCTGTATCATTTATATATATTGACATTTCTTGCAAGGTATTGGAAAACTAAACTGAAAAGCTCACTTTGGACAAGATGTATATAGTCGAGTTTTGGTCACAGAGGAGGAGGTAGAGGCCCTGCTTGAGCGAGTCGTGTTGAGGAGTGACTGGAGGGCTCAGGGACGACGAGCAGGGGCGCATGTTCCACATGATTCCCTGGTTCAGGGACACCCACGATACCATTTTCTCTGCGAAGACGTAACACTTTGGTAATACGATAATAATAATAAAGCATCCCCGGCCTCTAGTGACTAATACTCCTTATCTGCCTGTTAATTTCTGAAAGTCAATACTATGTGAAAGTATTCAAGTTGTAAAAAAAATGCCGTGTAATGTGATCCTATTACTGCATTTTTTCATCGTATCGTATTGTATTTTATACCATTTATCTCCACAAGTAATTGTGTTTATATTTATATAAGCAGGATTAATCTACGTTGTATTATTTAAGAACCTTACACAGGGTCTTTCGTGCATTAATGGCCAGTCATAGTAGCTGTCTGTCCCAAAAAGTAACTTTAGTTGTATTGTTCACTACTGGTTCTCTGATATGCTAGAATTAAAAGATATTGCTAGATATTTTTTTTATTTTATTAAAACAAATATTACAATATAAAAATTAAATACAGAGACATCAAGTGTGAACAAAAGGGTCTCCTTACTATAAAACATAACACACAGGGCATCCTGTGGAAAGGTTTACATTCCAACTGTTGCAAATTACCCTTAAGGGATCCATGCCTGATTACAACATTGAAATAAAGAAATACGATAATCTCTTCGTGTCCTAAAAAAAATCTACTACAAAAAGTCTACCGACCTGATTTTATAAATCTATAACCCCTTTTTCTCTTCATGACAATTGCAATATAATCTGATGACCTACCCTATATATGTGTAAGTACATATTTTACTATACATAAAAACAAATAAAAATAACATGCCCGAAAAGTATACTCATAAGAGTATAAGAGTACAATACCATGATAAATACCATCGAATCTTATGTCCTTCCTTAGATCATATATATGTTTAAATGCATATTTTACAATATATAAAAAATGACACGATTACATACCGGAAAATAAAACTCAGAGTATAATTATCATCCTACATGGCTACCCACATCTTAGTTAATACTTTTCTTTTATGTAAAAAACCTTACAGACTTATACTACACATGTTCCTATAAAAAACCATGCAACCCAACTCACGTACATCACCTTTATTATCAAAAACAAGTTCCCCCTTTGAAAACCCACCGCTGACCATTCCCAAACTCGCTATCACACCAAATTGCCTTACTTTAAATAATACCACTTACGTCTTATGTTACACATTACTAAATAATGTCAGTAAGGTCACAGGATCTAACAAAAACCAACATAGATATATAATAATTGTGTCACATGACACTGTGACTGTCTTAATAAATTGTTAATATACATATATACACAAACATATATATGCATAGATAAATATATACACATATACACACTATATATATATATATATATATATATATATATATATATATATATATATTATATATATATATATATATATATATATATATATATATATATATATATACGTACATATATACACAAATACATATACATACACACACACACCTTTTATCATGCTTAACACAATAATTTAAATTTTTTTTGAACCATGCTTTTTGTCCTTGTATATACTGTAAAATACACAAAATATGAACAGTATGTAAAACCGACATGAGCTCAAAGTAGTTGGTGTACCCAAACGCTCATAATACGTTGATTATCCCCTCTTTAGTCGTGCTACTGCACAGGACACTTTACCTTAATAATTCTTTGTTAAGCACAACACTGTAGTGTTGCACTACAGTTGCAACATACCTCTCAAAAACAACATTAGCTGCCTGACTGCGGTGGAGTGCGGTTGTGCACAGCACCCCTCTGCTGTTTTGTCAGGAGAGCTCTCATAGCAACAATATGGCGCTGAGTATCCGACGTAGGGTGAACACTGTCGGCGTGGAGCTGCTTCGTGGGGCGATTTCCCCCTCTACGGCGCAGGTATTACTTCCGGCAATCATCAGGGAAACGTACGGAGTGCAGGATGATGAGGTTTATGGTGTGGCCCTGAATGGGGCCTATCGTCTATTCGTCAAGTTAAATTCGACGGCTGTGTACGAGTCGTTAGTGACGAAATTTGAGCATGTGAGTATTGATGTAACTCCAGCTGTCAAAGTGCGACTCATAGACGTTTCTCGCCACTATACGTGGGTGAAGTTGCGCAATGTCCCCTTCGAGGCTGACGAGGAGGACTTACGGAAGGTGTTTGCAGCTTATGGTACCGTGCATCTGGCAACCCAAGGCAAGTGGGCGGCAGGTGCTTACGTGGGACGTCCGGAGGGTACATTCTCCCTCAAAATGACACTGAGGCACCCGATCCCGTCATACGTCGTGATGCCGGAGTTTAGGACCCAAATTCTAGTGGCGTATGCTGGGCAGCGACGGACATGCAGGTTGTGTGGAGAGTATGACCATATGGCGGCGACGTGTGGGAGGCAGTGGAGGGCGCTGGCGCAAACAGGTGGTGCACCAGTTACAGGTGTGGATGTCGTAGAGGAGAATTCCAAAGGAAAACCGAGGAGATGGCCGTCTGTGGAGTGAAATTGTAGAAGAGTCTCTTGTGGTGCATGTTGGGCGGGGGCACGAGTTGTGTGGAGCCGAAAATGGCCACTTTGCCGGTGATGGGGGAGGAAGTGCTCATTCAGCAGGAGGTGCAAGAGCTGGAGGAGGAGCTCGACGAGGTATTGAAAACTTTACCTTCTTCGGGAGAGGATAATGGCTTGGTCCGTGAAATGGTGCCTGAGTTGAAAGGAGAGTGTGGCGGGACAGGCACGGGAAGGAAGGAGGACAACTGCAGGCACAGAGAGGAGTCACCGAGCTCTGTGCGACAGGTCACAGTAGAGGTTGATGTTCACTGTGAGGAATCTTCGGTAGACAGTATGGCGGTTAGAGAGTGTTACGAGGAAGAGGGCGGCTGCGTCAGACTCAGATGATGTCCTGACGCCCGCGCAGAGGTCTGGGAGGAAGGATGTATATTCTCGTGACAGCCAGGATAAGAGGCATCGAAGAGGGGGGGGGTGGATGGTGACAAACCACATGTTGACCCTGGGGCAAGAGGCCCTGGGAAGGGTGAGAGGAGAAAGGGTTGGAAGCTTTAGAAAGGCCTTAAGTGCATGACTGTGAATGTGAATGGACTGTGTACTGGTGTGAAGAGGGAATGCTTTCGTATGCTCTTACGTCGATACAGAGTGGACGTAGTCTTTCTACAGGAGCATAATTTCAGGGAGGGTAGAGTGCTCGAGGTGGACGGGTTATACGGTGTTGACTCTGCCATCGGCACGTTTGAAAGGTGGTGTGGGTTTATTGATAAAGGAGGCGAGCCCGTTTGTGTTGCAAAGACGTGAAGGGGGTGGGGGGGGAGGGTGTTGCGTGTGGATGGGTGGTGGATGGGGCAGAGGGTAACCTTTGTAAGTGTGTATGCACCAGCTGAAAATGATATGAAAGTCAAGAGGGATTTTGTGTGTGATGATCTAGTTTTTGCTTTCCGTGGTTTACCTGAAGTGGCCATCGTAGGTGGGGACTGGATTGTGTGATCAGGAGAGCGGATGTGGAACCACGAGGGGCGGGGCATATGTTGACAGCATTACGCAATCTTTTGGTGGACGTTCAGTTGAGGGATGTGGTAGGTGGGGGAGCGTGGGAGGTGGAGCATACTTTCGTGAGGCGAGGTTACGCAGCTAGGTTAGACAGGTTGTATATATCTCATAAGGTATTGTCAACGTCTGTCCGTACTATTGAACTAGCTTTTTCAGATCATAGGGCGGTTGTCGCAGAAGTAGAGTGGGATTCTCTAGCTTGTATCTCTAGGGGATATTGGAAATTAAATACGAGTCTGTTGGAAGATGAGGAGGGGTTGGGGGGTTTTACGGAGCTGTGGGAGAGATTAACTGAGGAGGTACAAGGTGTGGAGGACGTGGTGACGTGGTGGGATGGTGTGGCTAAGGACCGGATTCGGCATTATTATGTGAGGGAGGGGAAAAGGATTAATTCTTTAAAATTTGGGTTGATTAATTATTTGGAGGACAGGTTACGGGGTTATGTAAAAGGGACAGTAGAGGGTGTCTATCCGATGGACGACATTATGATACTTAAAGAGCGGTTGCGGGAAATTCAGGACGAGCGGTTCCAAGCGGTGAGAGTAATGGCGGGGGTGGAGGAGGTGTTATGGGGAGATAGGCCGTCTTCGTGTGTGTTGCACAGACAAAAACAACGTCGGCAGGCAACAACTATTCCATGTTTGGAGGTTCTTGAGTCGGTGGGAGGGTATAGGGCGGGTCAGGTTATCCACACTACGGATGGGATGGGGTTGTTTGCGGATCAGTGGTACGAAAAGTATTGGCGGGAGGAAGGGGTAGGATTAGGGATTTAGAGAGGGTGTGTGGAAGTGTGCCATGTAGGTTAGGACACAGTGATAGGAAAGCTTTGGGGGGGGACATAACTGAGGGGGAAATATGGAGAGCTTTGAGTGCCATGCAAAAGGGCAAAGCACCGGGAATCGATGGACTGCCGGCGGAGTTTTATCAACAGCATTGGGAGTTAATAAAAGATTTTTTGGTGAGGTTACTGAACTTGATGAAGGTAAGGGGAAGGTTGGGTGAAAGACAGGCAACAGCTGTAGTTGTTTTGGTACCGAAGGGTAAGGAACAGCGTTCGCTCAGGGACTATAGAACAATATCGTTGTTATGCGCGGATTATAAGTTATTTGCAAAAATTTTAGGAAATAGGATCAAGTGTGTTGTAGGGAGGGTTGTATCGGAAACCCAGTTTGGGTTGCCAGGTAGGTCTATGGGGGTGGGACATGGTCTTTTAAGGGATTTCGTGGAAGAAAAAGGGGGGGAAGGGGGGGGGGGGTTTGGTTGCACTAGACTGGCAAGGAGCTTATGATAGGGTGGAGCGAGAGGCGTTGAGAGCTATCCTTAGGAAACAGGGCTATGGGGAAGAAATAGTGGGATGGGTAGAGGCGTTATAAGGGGCAATGGCGAGAGTACAGATTAATGGAAGATTAGGGGGGAGGATTGTAATGGGCAGAGGTCTTAGACAGGGGTGTCCTATGTCACAGCTTTTATTTG